GATAGTGTCCTCACATGATTTACTGGGCATATAAGAGGCATTGAACATTGCATGTACGTAGCTAAGCCCACGTACGTTTGCTTACAAGAATTACGGGCGGTACCCCGTATTCCCACCACGAAGGATAAATACACAAAAATAGGGTATATTCAATGAAAATAAAACAATGCTGATAGTAATTCTCGGTCCCATTTTCCAATGGGTTCATTGAATCCGACTCGTGCCATGGACTTGTCATACCAAAAGGGGGGGGGGGGGGTACCGTGGTAGGACAAAGTGGGCGGATAGTCCCACTACAAGGCGAGTTTAAATTCATGTGCGGATACATGGGTATGTATGCTACTGTTTGTCTACGTAAGGCTATAAGCTTCCATATAGCTTTGTGATAAAGTACATTATGTATGGGTATGTTCCGTGCTTATACATGAGGGCATACATGGGTTTAAAGGCGTAAATATGCAAATTTGCACATATGGTGTATATATTCATGTATGAATGTGTACATATAAATGTGTATATAAGCATGTATATATGTGTATGTGTATATAGGTATATATAATGTGCGTGTATATGTGTATGCGTGGGTGAATGTATAGGTAGACATATGGAGGTATTTATATGTGTATATGTATAGGTATACGTATATAGGTGTGCGCAGGATGTAGGAAGGTGGATAAATAAGTAAGTATATGTATGTATGTATGTACGTATGTATGTACGTAGAGGTAGTTATATGTAAAGCAAGTACAGGTATATACACATATATACAGGAGGGGGGGACACTAGTGTATGCTGCAAATGTATGTGCTCATACACGGATGCGTGAGCACAACCAGGGATAGATACATGCGTATGTATAGTGATATGTAGGTTTGCGAGGTATGCAAAAAGGGGTGTTTACATATACACGGGTGAATATACACTCATGTATACTCACTTATCAATAACATATAACAAGCGCATAAAGGGACAGGCGATGTGAACATATGACTAGGTCAGACTATGATGGACATGTATGTAGTTATTTATAACGTAGGAATAAGTATCCATATCCATAAGCATAAGTACAAGAATAAAGGTGTATGCTTGCATATAAATATGCGTGGGAATGAGCATATGCGTAGTACTTAGAGCATGTGCGGGAATGAATATGTCTGCATCAGGTGCACATACGCACAAATGAAGTTAATAAATAAAATAAAAATCAAACATATATGCACTTCTAAAAATTAAGTCCAGCTCACGGGAGTAGTGAGCAGGCCGTGCACTGCCGCTCCTAAGTCCGCACCAGGTAGGACCAAACCTGCTGGGGGGACTTATCAATGGCATTCCGGCTAAATTACTCCCCTCCCACCAAGATACACCTAAGCCAGTAGGTGGGAGGTAAATCGGCTGTCCACCTCCATGAAAAGAAGCATCCAGCCATGGCCCCCATTCCCCGGAGGCGAAGGAGCCCCTGGTTACGTCGGCGATCAGGATCACTCCGGAGCAAGGGGTGCTAAAAATATCCGGGTAAAGACAGCCGCCCCACGTTGATGAACCTTTGGCACATACAATATAAGGACATGAGACTGAATCCGACTTACTAGCTTTACTAAAGGGAACTCTCTTCGATTAGGGATGTAGTAGGACTCTGCGAAGTTAGAAGACTAGGCGAAGAGCAGAAGTTAATAAAAATGAGGGACACGTGCTCTAGTGGAGAGGAAAACTCTGGTAGCAAACAGGAATCAGGGGTAGGATTCTTAATACACAAACGCTTAGAAAAATAACATCGTAGAATTCTATAGTGTCAGCGAAAGAGTGGCTTCTGTAACAATAAAACTTAATAATAGGTACAACTTAAAAATTATTCGTCCTATGCTCCAACCTGCAGCCACAGTGATGAAGAAATAGAGAGCTTCTATGAAGATGTTCATTTAGCCAGCGAGAGAACAAAAACCCATTTCACAATAATTATGGGGGATTTAATGCCAAAATAGGTAAAAAGACAGAGGGCGAAACAGCGTAGGGAACCATGGAAGCAGGCACTAGAAAACGAGAGGGGAAAATGCTAGTCGACTTAGCGGAGGCTCGATCACTCAGTATCATGAATACATTCTTCGAAAAAAGACTAGAACGGAAGTGGACATGGAAGTCGCCTTCTGAAGTCAAAAACGAAATTGACTTCATAATTTCAAATAGGCGCGATATAATAAAAAAAACGTAGAGGTTATAAATAAAGCGCGACCATAGAATGGTGAGAGGCGAAATTAAAATACATCTCAGAAGGGAAAGGAACAAACTAATGTGTAAACCACAGCCAAACTTGGCTAACTTGAGGAATCAAGCAACAGAATTTAGCCTAAACAGTCCCAAAACAGATATTCACAGCTCCGCGACGAAGAATCTGCATGATGCAATATGTTCAATAAATTTCAATGAAGAAAAAGAAGCCTATTAAAGTAGACAATGCGGCAAGCTCTGTAGAAACAAACAGCTTTGCAAAAACGTAAGACATGAA